GAGAGAGAGAGAGAGAGAGAGAGAGAGAGAGAGGAGGAGGAGGAGAGGAAGAAGAGAGAGAGAGAGAGAGAGGGACGACGAGTCGTCGAGCCGTTCGAGCGTTGATCGAAAAATGAAAAAGAAAAAGGAAAAAAAAAGAAAGGAAACGCGACAGGGTGAAGCGTTTACGAAAGACACGTTGCGAAAAGAGAAGAAAAAACGAAGGCGGGATGAAAATCTGTAGGATGCTTGAGAAGAGGGGAGCACGCTGTCTGCAAAACCAGCCCTTAACCCATAATCTTAATCTCTTTCATGTAAATTTGCTAAATGTTTAAATAATCTAAGAAAAAAAAAAAATGCCATAGCCCGGATGCGCTGGTGTATACTCCCAGTGCATACACACTCACAAATACGACTCGACCTCACGAATTAAACGCAAAAAAATCCGCGCCGCCACTTCTTCGATGGATGGGGCGCGGTAAAATTGGTATTCTCGCCAAGGAGCAAACAGTTCACAATTGCACAAACGACAGAATCACAGACAGAAGCACACACTCAAACGAAGGAAGAGACAAAAGAGGAAATACCGGGACTCGCGTCTCGCGGACCCGCGTGTCGCCCAACGGTTCGAGAACGCGCCGCGGGACGAAGCCGCGATCCCGGCCCTCACGTTACACGATGAAATCAAAGTTGCCCTGGTTCTCGAGCGTGCAACCCCGCGCGCTCACACACATCTCCATACACAAGGTTGTGTACGAGGAATCGTGGTGGAGTGAATTCACACCCCCCTCCCTCGTACACCCTACACCCTTGCGCCTCCCGCGCATGCACCCACACATACTTTACACACACTTTTCCACACTTCGTAACACACTTTAATTACACACTTAATTACACACGCTACGGATATGTAAAGCCAATTGATTTTGTAAATTGTCGAAAAAGAAAAAATGAAACGAAAGCGGCGAACATTCGGAAGAAAAAAAAAAAAAATGAAAAGAAAAGAAAAACCACGGAACCATTATTCGGCCACATACACACCGGTACTTTTTCACGGAACGTAATTAATATTTGAGAACGTAATATGGTTTATATGTACATGTATGCATAAAAAGAAAGAAAGAAAAAAAAAAAGAACAAAAATGCATTGCGGAATCAAAAAAGAGAGAGAGGAAAAAAAAAAGAAAAGGTATAAATAAAAACGAACGTTTACTACCGATCCGAGTTTGAAAAGATCCGCGCGAGGATCGTCAACCGATTCGTTCTCGCTTTTTTTCGAGCGGAAAGGAATCGTTTCGAGCGGCAGTGAACGAGGATTTACGAGGTTTTACGAAATAAAAAAAGCAATTGATCCAAAAAGACGCGATTAATATTAAAAAAAAAAAAAGAAGAAAATCAAAGCAAAATTCGCGGCCTTTGGCATACGTTTGGATGCAGAACCGATGATGAAAACGACGCTCGCGTTCTTCTCGAACGGCGAACGTCACACCATGCATCCCGGACTTGACGCCGATATACCCGAAAGTGACGTGACATATTCTTCGTTCGAGGAAATGTCGAAGATCGAGCGTGGGCAGGCGCTTCTTGCGAGGCGAGAGAAAAAAAATAAAAATAAAAAAACGAACAACTCAAACTCTTGTAACTTGTCCGAAGACGGGACAGACAGAGAGAGAGAGAGAGACAGACAGACAGAGAGACAAGAGAGACGTTTGTAAAACGGACAAAGATAAGACGCCTCGAGAATGAAGAAGAGGAAGAAGAAGAAGAAGAAGAAGAAGAAGAAAGAAAGAAAGAAAGCCTGTCCCACGCGTATACATAGAGAAAAAAAAAGAAAAAAAAAAACCATGTGTAATAACCATCCTAGCAAGTAGCAACGGCATTAGGAGAGCCGTTGTTCGAATTCGCGGCTTTACAAGCAAAAACCGTTGATTTGTTTTCGATCGGGTTTTAATTTTTTAATGAAATAATCTCACAAAACGAATATACGACCACGTACGATCGCGCTGATCGATCCGAGAGACAGAGCGAGAAAGAGAGAAAGGGGAGAGAGAGAGAGAGAGAGAGATGTAGAGACGTAAAAGGAGACAGATAGAGGCAAAGACGTATGTGACGTATATTCGTGACAGTGTGTATCGTAAGTGCGCAGCATATGATAAAACCGACAGTCTAGCAGTGCGAGCGCCTCGGCGGCATTCGCGTTTTCACGCGGTGTCCCTGACCGAGCCTCCGTGATTAAAAACCGGAATAAGTTGTTTCAATGTCCACTATATAAATGAAGAGGCATAGCTGGTAAGACGGTGGGTTATCCGTTCGTCGTTCTTCGAATTCGTTCGTTCGTCCCCCGCTTCATTCGACGAATAACGCGCGGATCCAGCATTGTTTCGTTCACAATTTCGACGAACGAAATTGAACCAAATCCTACTACATCTTCTAATAACACGCGTTATTGATTACCGAGTAAATATTTCCACGAACAATATGGAGGCTGCGATATCATCCCCCGGAGTTCAAGTATCGAAGGGAAGGAAAAAGTATTCTTTTTTTTTTTTTTTATTTTCGAGTATTTTGGCCGAAGAGGAAATAGAAATTCGTTCGTCCGGTTCGATTCGATTTTCAGGCAGCGACAAACATTGAAAATTTCGATTTCTCGAAACGTTTTCTTCATTTTTTTCACTCAACGAAATGGAACGCGAGGTAAATTCGATCGTCTTGACGATCTTCGGGCACTTTGGCAATTGTTTTTCGTACAAATTGATATTTATCGGGACGCAAAAAAAAGAAAAAAAGAACGAGTTATTAAAATTAAAAGACGAGGAGGAGAAATTTTTCTACCTCGAGCCGAATGCTGAAACTCCAGCAGAGTAGTAACGTGCCGTAGTAACGAATTTGATCGATCGGAGACGCGAATCGGTAAAAAAAGAAAAAAAAAAAAAGAAAGGAAAAAAGAAAAGACAATCGTCGGCGACGAACGTGCGAACCCACCGTGCTGGCTCGTCGCCGCAATCCGGAAGTTCCTCGAGGCCTCCCGGTTTTCGCGACGAGTCGATACTCTTTTCAAAATATTCTCCAAATTTTTCGTTCACAGGAATGTGTTTACTTTACCCCCAAACCCCACTTACGACCCCCCGTTATACGCGTTCGAGGGAAAAAGACCGAGTCCAAAAATTTCCTTTCAACTTCACACGATTGGGGAAAAAAAAACTTTAACAACGATCGAGTCGAATTCAATTGGAATACATGACGAGAATCGATCTACGACGAGCGATACGATATGATTCTTCTTGTAAACGTAAAAGAAACAGAAAAAAATAAATAAATATTACATGTGTAATGTGATGATTAAATACGACGAAAAATACGACGAGATAGAAAATCTGTATATATAAAATTGACAAAATGGAAGAAAATTGATCAATGGAGAAATAAT